ACTACTGGCCAATCCATTTTCATTGTGAAAATTAGATACTTAATCCATCGATCTACAGGCCAATATTAGCCAATTCCCATGGAAATATTAGTTGTGATCAAGAGGACGTGCAGGAGATTCACTAGTCAACGTGGATTCATCTCCCACCTTGTTTCGTACGATTCTGTTCTCATTAAAAAAAAAAACTTAGTGGAGATTTTAGGATAGCCTAACTATTTTTGGTATTTTACAAGGCCTGCCAATAGAATAGCTCAGAACACCATAATCATAGAGCCACCTAAATATTAGGGGACCTCCAGTATATTTTTGTTAGCTAAATCAATCGTAAGCTGAACTTGTGCTGTATGATTAATAGATGAAGGGTTTAAGTTGTTAATTGATACTAAGGCTAATTATTTATCAATATTCTCATGTATGCATATGAAGTTATCAATAATTCTGATTGGCCGAGGTACAAAGAAGTAACGGTTTGCAGAAGCACTAAATACCAATGTTGTCAGAACCGAACCATCATATGAACCGGTATAGTAAGCGATTCACACTTTATTAGTTTAACAGCTATCAAACCCGTTATCGAACCAGTGTATAAGAAATAGAATTATTATAAGTAGAAACCATTAATAGTATAATAATTATATATTTATTCTAATATATTCAAACAAAAAATTATATATGACAAGTAAAGATTATTATTGTTCAAAAATATAAATTATTTAAGTACAATACGAGTGATTTTAAATAGTTATGAATACTATTTAATGATTAATTTCAAAACTAAACACCGTGAGATTGTTTAATAATAAGACTTGTATCTTTTGCTGCACAAATTGGTAACAGCACAACTGGAAAAGCGTTTAACTTTGCACCTCTTCAATTGGCTGGATTTTTGTCACCAAGATTCTGTCCGGTAAAATCATTGAAGCAGTTCGAACGGTTCATCAGTTTAATTGGTTGGTTCGCTTGCAAAGCGGATGTTCCAGCCGTTACGCCTAAATAGTTTGATCCGATCGGATTAGAGGTGGAGTGGCGGTTTTACCGGTCGGACCGACCGGTCCAGTCCAGCTTTGATAACACTGCTAAATACCCAATAGGCCAATAGTGGTGAATATTATGAGGCATTTACATTGATTATTAAAGTTATTTTTCCATTTTTTAACTGGTTGTATGCTTGTACATGCTTTTTTCATTTTTCTTGTGCTATTTCACTCCTCACAGATACAACAAGGTTGTCTATTTAGTGGATAACAAGAGCCTCTCATCGACAGTTCGACTTCTTGTCAACTGTTGTATTTGGTTGTTTTGTGTATATTATGACTAGGGCTAAAAATGAGCCGAGTCGACTTTTACACCAGTTTGAGTTTGACTCGTTTATTAACGAGCCGAGTCGAGCTCGAGCTAGCTTGCTTAATAAAATATTGACTTGTATTTGATATATTCATTTTGTATGTCATACATGATACATGTGTACATGGGCGTTGTGCCGTGTCAGCCCATTTGTTAATTTTGCAAGACCTGACACAGGCTCGGCTACGGTTTGAATCGTTCCGTGCTTATATTCGTGTTTAATGAAAAGAAAACAATTAAAGAGGAAATGAAAAAGAAGCAACAAATTGGACGGAGAATGAAAGTATTACTATTAACAGAGAATATAAAAAATGTAACAAATAAGGGCAGTGGCGGACCCATAAATTTGACATAGGGGTGTCATCTTTAAAAAAAATAAAGTAAAATAAAAATTATATAATCAATAAAAATTATATAATTCTTAAATAAGAAAATACCCAACTCATACAAGTTAAAAAAGTGAATGATGTATTTTTCATATTCTAAAAAAATTATAAAATACACTTGGTGTCTACACTACTCAACAAATTTAACTCGGAATATCCTACTAGACAATCATTCACGAACTGACGCATATTTGACTTCTAAATTAGTTCTTGATGTAACTCAAAGCTGAAAAAATACTTTCAACACTTGTCGTGCAACCATAAAATCAATACAAATTAAGGGCAGCTTGTAATTAGATTAATTGTTAGGTTTTGAAAATAATTAAATATAGTAATAGAGAATAAGATTTTGCTATTACACAGTGTTTAGAATAGTATAACAAAAAAGTTGTAGCCTAATGAAAATTATATTTATTAGTAATAGTAGTGTCCCGGATTTGAACTACCCAAACTACCACTTATATTCTCATACGCAAACTACAAACGAGAGAGTAGTATAATCGTTCTTTCAAATTTCAGGGTGTCCCGGACTATTAATTATAATTTATTTTGTCTATACGTAAATTCCATCGGGGTTGGATAATCGATTTTTAAAAATTTAGGGGTGTCCCGGGACACCTCTAAATGCCCCTTGGTCCGCCCCTGAATAAGGTGGAAAAGAAAATTGAAAGTATAGCGGGTGTGATTTAACATTGTTTAATACTTCGTTTATTTTACTTATGGTAGTAATTACGTATATATATTTATGATAACTTCTAACAGCAGTAAATAATTATTATTGTACTTGTATTTTTTAAGATTTGGAATTATAATCCTTTCATGTCATGTTCGTTCATATACTGAATACGGTCTCGAAAAAATTAGGCCACATACGACCCATTTACATACCGTGTCGTGCCCGTGCCCATGAAGTTTAGGCCCGGCACGAACCATAAAATTTCGTGCTCGTGTCGGGTCGCCCATATATTTCGTCCCCGTGCTCGTGTCGTACGCTAACCGTGCCATGTTGTGCTAGCCCGTGGGCGGCCCGGCCCGTTGCCCATGTACGGATACATGTGATTAATGTCAAGATGAAAAAAAATAGTTAAGTGTTCAATATTAACTAATCTTATGTTATACTTTGTGGTATCAAATTATTTATTTAATAAATTTTAACTAGTGAAAATTATGTTATTTCACAATATCGAAGCAATCTATGATACAAAATTGCATTTTAAAATTAAATAAGACATATTTACTCACATAATCTACGTGTTAAACTTCATATAGGGTGAGATATATAATTTAACAATCCTATAAATTATCAAAATCAAACTCATATAGATCGATTCGCTCATAACTCAGTAATCGAGTTGGCTCTTTAGTCACAATGTTGAGAGTTGAGACATCCTATGAGCTCTAAACAAGCCAGCTCACCAGTTAAGCTAAAAAATCTACCGAGTCGAGCTAGCACGCGAGCTCCGCGAGCTTCAAAAATCTAAGCTCAAGCTCGACTCATTAATAAACGAGTCGAATTTCGAACGAGTTTTTCACGAGTCGAACGTCGAGCCGCTCACGAGTAGATCGACTCATTTACAGCACTATGACTGTCTATCTTTACCCTTATGGCCCTATCTATGAAAAAAAAAAAATCAATGGCTGGCATATATCCAGAATCTGTTCCCATTTCCCACCACCTAACTTCTTTCTTTCCTTCTGTATTTTTCCTGGAAGCTTCAGTCCTTCAGATGAAGTCCTCTCTCGATTCTATCTTCCAACATTCTTCTAACTTGAGTCTTGAAACGATTCTTTAATTTGACTCGAAATTTTTTTTTTTTTTTTTTTGTTATTTCAGGCCAAAAACATATGGAAAATGATAAGTGATATTGTATTTTTCCTTTCCTGTAAAAAAAGGAATTGTATTCGTCCTTCCAAATCCAATTCATAGACTGAGTAATAATAATTATGATTTATGACGAATCATAAGATTGTTCCAGCTCGCAGGTCAGCTGGGATTTAGAAGACTGCAGCTCAAGGTTGATAGCTTAACACTCGTCGACAAACTAAGGCAGGTCCAAGAGATTCACAGAGGTTGGAACCATTTGCAGGCGAATAAGATTGCTACAGGAGACGGATTCAGATCCGAGCAGCATAACCCATGTGAGGCGTACCGGTAATGGCGCGGCATATATTATGGCTCATAGTGAGACCCACTGGAATAGTAGAGAAGTGTGGCTTGAAAGGCCTCCGATTTTTCTTAGCGATCAAATTCGTTTGGATGATGTAACCACTTTACTTTGATTATTTTATTTCACAGGTTACCTATCAAAAAACAAATTATTATTATGACGATAATATTAATTATTTGCATTATCAAGCTAGATAAGGGGTGCCGACTATGACCGATAAAATGATAAGAGATTAAAACAAAACCAAAGAACATGTTAAGAAATGCAATCGATCGAGTACAGTGAAATGAATGTTGCAAGTAAGAAGTAATCATTTTCCTATGAATAATTTTAATTAAATTGATAAACATTCAAGGAACGCAATATTGATGGTGAATTAGTAATGTAAGGTCTTGTTCTTGATCTTAATACAACACGCAATTAGCATATGATATTATGAGAATTTGGGCGATGCATTTTGGACATACGTGAATGGTGATTGACAATATACACTAATTTTCTTTTTTAATTTCGATAATCAGCCCATCATAAACCCATTGAAGAGGAAAATAGCAGCCTTAATAGTTGTCCCTGGTTTAGAATGTTAAGATGACACTAATGATTTTTAGGATGAGAACTTTTCTATGAAAGAAAAAGAAATGGATCGTTTGGATGAGGAATTGTAACGGATCAATTTGACACAATTGTCTCGTTTTGAGACAATTGTACCAAATTGTCTCGTTTGCCAGCAAAAAAATTGGATGGATCAATCTGCCTGAGGTATTTTGAATTGATTCGTTTTGAGTCAATTTCAATTACCTGGGGTGGGGGCAAGTAATTCGAATTGACTCGTTTTAATTGCCTCGTTTATAAAACGAGACAATTGTCAAATTGACTTATTTTTAGATTGATCCATCCAAACGACCCCAAGATGTGGTGGTTGTTGGGTTTGCATTGACATGATACCTTTTCTAATGAAGGTTTTTTTTTTTTTTTTAATTCATATTTAGTTTTTTTTCATCATAAAAGGAAGAGTCCATCCATAACAAATGGATTGGACCCATTGAGAGAAACACCTCTGCTAGAAATCAAAGATCGGAATTTTGGAGCCTTGTCGTCGGTCCAAAAAAACAAATTGTTATTCTAAAAGTGAACAAATGGTGTAATACACTTCACTGCTCATACAAAATCACAGAACTCTTTTTGAGTCCTCAAATTCATCTCATCTCATTTCATTTTCTTGTTTCTTTTTTCTTATGTAAAATATGTACAAGAATCTCACCCCACCAATTTCATCCACATCTCCTCCTGCCGTCGATTGTTAAAAAAAAAAAAAGAGAAACAAAAAAATGTAAAGAAAGGGAAACGAAAAAAAAAAATCATATCCCCACAATTTCCCCCTTTTTTTAAGCTATCCGGCGAATCCGGGCGACCGCCGGCCGTCCTCTTCTAGCTAGCAATCTGCGAGAACTCGCCGTAAAAATCGGGGATCCCGGACGCCGCCCAGAATTTCTCGTTGAAGCTCTCCTGCATATCCTCCGGAATCACCGGCGTCCGGCACAACGGGCACGTCTTCCGGTCGTACCCCATCCACCGGTCGAGGCACCCCTTGTGGAACACGTGGCGGCAATTCGCCAGCCCCCGAATCTCGTCCTCCGCCTCGAAGTCGTACAGGCACACCGCGCAGCTCTCCGGCGGGTCCACCAGGTCGCCGAACCTCACCACCGGCAGGATCTCGCGGATCAGCACCGCCGACACCGAGCGCTGGAACTCCGGGAACCCACCGCCGCTGACCGGCGACCGCGGCGCGAAGGAGTCAACGTCGGGAGAAGAAGAAGGCGGCGGCGACCAGGAGATGTTGGGTTCGAGGAAATCGGGGAGGCCTATGACGCGGAAGAACGCGTTGATGAGTCGCCGGAGGAGGGACAGGATAGAGAGCATGTGGATTAGGAATTTGGGCAGGAGGAGCTCGGTGTATCCGACGGGAAACCCCATTTCTGTTGCTCCGATTCCTGCTTCTTTCTTCCTCCTGTTTCTGTTAGGAAGAAATTGAAGTAATTACTTTGTGATTAAAGGGGAGAAGAATGATCGAAAGAATGGAAATTTTCGTTTTTTAATTTTGGGGGATCTTTGAAGCAGAGAATTTAGAGAAAGGGAGAGAAAGCAGAGGAATGGCGGAAGGAGGATGGAGGAATGGGATTGGGTTATATAGAAGGAACGTAACGGAGAGATGACGGTAACTGGTCGGCTCGGGAGAGAGTGAAGGGAGGAAAATGTGGTAAGAAAGGACTAAGTACAATTTAGTACCTGTATTTACGTTTTTCTAGCTTTTGCAACCCCTTCGAACAGTTATAGCATTTTTATTCTCCCATATGAAATACCTCCCATTCTTGTAATCATTGGAGTGGAGATCAAGAATCATTCTTCTATCATTTCATACATTTTTTTGCTTATGGTTGAAAAGACTGAACAAATGGAGACGAAGATTGGTTGGATCAGAGACGGAGCTAGGATTTGAAGTTAGGGGATGTCGCAAATTTTTCTTTCTCGATGACATAATTTATGAAAATTTGCCCGTAAATTCTTGAAAAACTCTAATATAAACTATAAAAAATATATACATTTTTAATCTCTAGAATACAAGTCACTAATATATTTAAAAATTAGAGTATTCCATTTCTTGTTATGAAAATGTAGTTAATTTAACCAAAAAAAGTTAGAAATTTTCAAAAAAAGTACATTAACCACTTAGCATATACTAATTACTACAAGGTACAAACCATAACAATTTGCAATTTATAGCACTTATAAATGAGGACTATATATTGTTATAAAAATGTAGTTAATTTAACAAAAAAAAATTGAAATTTTCAAAAAAAAGTACATTATCCATTTAGCATATACTAATTACTACAAGGTACAAACCATAACAATTTGCAAATTACAACACTTATAAATGAGGACTATATATGAAAAAAGGATTCAAAAAGGTGGGCAGGAGTGAGGGTCGAACTTCTAACCTCCCATTCATGAGTTAACTTATATTAGCATTCTTAATCACTCAAATTACAATCGATCATATGTCAGCACGAAACCTACAAGACATGACCCACTATTATCAAGCTGGCTCCGTCCCTGGGTTCGATAGTACGAGCGTAGTGGAAGGGTTCAAGTAAATATTGAGGTAATATACTGATAATGGAACTCCGGGGGACTGAAATGTTTTGAAACATAAGTTTTGGGGCTAAAGAGGTAGTGAGTGTTGATGAAGGGGCTCACCTAATGGCAGACAAATTGGAGAGGGAGGAAGAATAACTTAGTAACTTAGTAAGGGAAGAACACTAGAAACAGACATGGACGGTCGTTGTGACGGTCAAAAGGGGTCTTCTTTCCTACTTTCTCTTTTTGGGTCCAGAGGTATTCTTTTCCTTTTTCTCCTTTCTTTATATAAAAAGAAAATTGACCAAAAGAAAAATACACAAACAAAATTAACAAGCTTCCATTTTTTGTATTATGTACAAATCCACAGACTAACAAAATTTTACAATGCTATATAGTATTGGTGCTATAGGATTTTGCCTTTATGGTACAACTTAAAATTGTACATTTACGTTATGGTACAACTTCAGATTGTACCTATACTTTTTGTACAAATTCTTTTATGGTACAACTTGAACTTGTACTTTTATGTGATGGTACAACTTCAAGTTGTAAAGTTGTACCATAACATAATGGTACAAATTGCTTTATGGTACAACCTAAACTTATACATTTAATGTTATGGTACAACTTTACGTTAAAGCACCAATACTATATAGCATAGTAAAAGTGCTCACAAACGACCCCACGTGATTTGTCATGGTCAAAGGCCTATATTGCTGCATTGTTCTGTTGTTCTGGTATGAAAGTATTGTTCTATATTTTTTAGAAGAGGCATTCAATTTTATATTACTTCAGGTATATTGTCATCTCTATTTTCGTGTAATACTTATGTAGATTACCCATTTTTGTTGTTTATCTATCTATCTTCATGCTAGTGGGTAGATAAAACAATTGAATTCGTCAACGGTATTATATGTAAATCATCGTTCACATATTATATAAATCGATACATGTATCAGATGTCACACACGATGGTGAAGTATTTAAACTTTTCTCTTGATCAACGCTTTGTTACACCAGTGCCAAGTAAACTCTCAAACACTGCGGGATGTGTACTGTGGGTGTATAATTAATTTTATAATTAGTGAGACTGAACACATGAATAATGTGGGATTCTGAAAATAGCCCTACCGTTAGGCGCCATAGGAGTAAAGCACAATCTATCAAGTTTTTTTCTTCTTTTTTTTTAAAAAAAAAAGAGAGCACAATCTATCATGGTGATGATTGCAATTGCAAAGCTAAATTAGCATTTGTAGGCTTGCATTCTTTAATGTAAAACATTTTAGGACCCACTAAGCACTAACCATCATCTTAAAGAACAAGATCACTCATTGATTAGTAAAAATCACATTACAAGTGAATGGCGGTGACAAATATATTTCACCAACCAATCCAAATTCAATTTTATACAACAACCTAGGGTTACTATGCTGATGGGTACACGTCAGCGCATGCTGATATCGTCATATCGAGTATTTATATTTCAAGCATTAGGTGAACACGATTGCATGTTTTGTGAGGAGCCCTCTATGTGATCGAGATGACATCAAACACAAACATGGTAGCAAAATTTCTTCTAAAATGGCAACAACTCAAATTCACTGGACTTATAATTGAACACAAAACAGTTGTAGTCCAAGTTCATTCGATTTACGATAAGGATCCAAATGAAATCATATCAAATGGAGACACAAAATGAAATTGGCTCAAGAAAAAAAGGATCCTCAATGATCAAGCTATATATGTGGGCAAAGGGTAGGGTGAAGAGAGGTGATGATGATATGAGTGTTGAGATGTCCTAGCTACCTAGCAAACAAAGCAAAGAGACATGAAGTGGGTAATTGTTCCACCAATCACCTCTTTGGTGTAACCCCACAAACACCCATCCTATAGACCAAAAAAGAAGCAAGAGAAAATCAAAGTGGGGAAAATGATAAGACACACCCATCTTCACCACATAGCTAATGCATCATGGATGGTCATATGACCAATTGGGTGGGTTGAGGGAGATGAACTTTGGTATCCCTAACACATCATCTTTCCATTGTCCCCATCTTGAATTGGGGGTTTCCACTAACACCACCAAATTGGCCATTCCATTTTGTTTGTGTGGACTGATTTCAGACAAAAAGCTACATCTCTCCTTTCCCCCTCTTGTTTTCTTTTGCTCCTTTGTTGGTCTTCTCTCTTCTTTAGGTTAAGTTCCTTTCAAGATGTTAACCCTATAACTACTCCCCCATGCTCCCTTTGTCTTTGGACTTTATACGTCAAACTCGTAGCTTTCACACCCCAACTCTTCTTTTGTATTCTGGTGGTGGTTGCACATGATCACAATTATCATCTCATCCTTAATAATCAAATTTGACAATAATTAAGGTTAAGCCATCATAATCTCAAGCTTATACATTGAGAAGATAGCATTTTAAGGATTGGTAGCGGGATACAAGAACGAAACAAAATGGTAGCATTCATTCATTCATTGTTGTCTTGTACGTACTTGAAAGTTAACTGTTACTTATGAGATTCAAAGAAGCTGAATCAAGGTTGAATTGTTCCCCTTGTGTGCCATGAAAGATGGAAACAACGTACGTAAGTTGGAATCCACCTTAAATCTTAATTAATCCTCAAAGAAAAAGAGGCCGGAATCACCTTATTCAATATTCATCGCCGCATATACATGCGGCATTACGTACGCAAACTCTAAACTAAAGGACAAACTGCAGGCACTAGCTAGCTAGCTAGGAGAAGTAATGATCTTGCAAAATACAGAATGCATGGAGATTAATTCATATACATAATGATCTTGCAAAATCTTTTACCCACCATTTTATTGGATGTAAGATCCATACATGAACTAGAGTGACACTAATCCTAGAACTATTCTAAAACATTTGGCTTTATAAGACCAAACTACAAACCTGATTCGACTCGACCCCTATTTTGTTTTGATATTGTGTTAGAATATGACTTGAATTGGATTTGGGTTTGTTTTGTGTTTTAGGCCTATTCTGTTTGGGTTTGAGATTGTGTTTTGTTTTGACATTTTCCTTGTATGTTTGGGAAAATGTGTTTGATTTTCTGTTTGGGATTATGAGAAGAGTTCTATAAATACTCTTCGTCACCCTAGTCTGTAGTAAGCTTAAAGCATCAACTTCTATTTGAAAATTTATATTTTGGTACCCAAATTTTCTTTGTACATATCTTTCGGTACGAGGAATTTCAAATCACTAGCTGTTCATATTAGATCATAAGGCCAAAACAGACCCTACCCGATCCTAACAGGGAACAAAGATGACCCAACTCTAGGATGACCCTATAGACAAACTGAGTCAGCCCCCAAATCAGTGGTTATCGAAGACCTTACTTACGCGAACCTCTCCCAACGATTCGACATTATATATATTGAGTTATTCACAATGAAATATTGATGAGATCTAACCCTATCCGCCGGAGAGAGAGAGAGAGAGGGAGGGCTGGGCCAACCATATGTGAAAGCAGCAGCCCACTACTCTATCTACTAGGGTGATGTGTTTGTTGTCCTGCAAATGAATAAGTTTGGGCAACCTGACAAGTTTGTGCCCTAATGAGGCCGCGACACTGTTGGGACCCTTCCAAACAGACCATTCATTTATTCATTCATAACGTCCATGTTATTGTTATATACGTACACTACTACTACTACTACTGCAGTTTTACTTGCACTAACCCAACACTCTGCCGGCCACTGGCCTTCCACCTCCATTCAATCTCTACCTCTACCTCTACCTCTACCTCCATCTCCATTCCATATATACCCTACCTCAATCTCTCTCTAGAAAGGTCTTTGCAATTTGCATGCCAACGGCAACTTATATAATTCACCTTACTTTGTCTATTCCTCTGTCCTACCCTAGCTAGTTTAGCTTCACCCTTGGCCGGCCCACTGCTGCCTGCGGGCCTGGACTCGTATTATACATAGCTACTAGGTGGCGATGCCGCGACATGTCGCGAAGCGGAGATGGCCTATGGGCATATATTATAT